GGGCGGGGGAAAGCGGAGGTCCCACCCTGCTCCTCATCACCTCTCCACCCTGTGACTCAGATCTGGGGCTGGGACCAGCTAACACTAACGTACCCCAGAGACAGGCTGGGAGTCAGGGCTCAGGCCTGTCCAGCACCCCCCCTAACACTCTGTGTAGGACTCGACCTGAGAGCTCAGGACCCAAAGGAGCCTCGGCCCTGGCAGGTGTCCTATAGACTGGATCCTAGGAACCAGGAAAGGAGGTTGGTGCCCCAGAGTCCCAGGCATATTCCCTAAGCTCAATCCATCTTGTCCCTCCCTCTCTGAGGTCAGGGGTGAGAAGTCTGAGTCCTGGCCCCAGCTGTGTCACCTGCAGCAAGCCACTGCTCCTGCCCGGGCTAGAGGTCACCCAGCTGTCAAATGGGACAGGCTAGACCAGGTCTGATGTTGCTGGCAACTGCTCTCAGTGCGACAGTGCTTCTGAGTCTCCATATCTGGAACACAGGACGATGGTGCCGCCCGCCCTATAGCGTAGTTAAGGTTCCCTCGAGCTCATCTGTATGGAGTACTTAAGACAGCACCTGATGGAATAAGGGCCCAAGATGCTACAGGTGACGTGTGCAGACTGCTTCTCAGTCACGGCAAGCACCAGCTGGTAGTGGCTGGTTAAGGTTCTCTTTGCTTACGGAAGTCTAGGAGGGGAGGTGGAGGGAGGATGAGACGATGGCCCAGAGCACAGAGTTCAGACCCACTTGTCCCCCAGGCAAGCACTGGTCCTGCAGGGGACATTGTGCCTTGGCCAGCCTGGGAGTCCCATGGCCACTGCAGATGCGTTCTGCGGCCCTGGGCTGCTACCAGCCCACCAGGCCTGCCAGCCGAGTTAGTGGTGCCAGGGCACCCAGCCTCCCTCGTCTCTTCCGTGCATCTGTCCCTTGGGAAGCTCCTCACCCCATCTGTCTGGCACAGCTGTGCAGTCAGACACCCCTGGGCCCCAGTTCCTGCCCATCATCCCACCTCACTGCACCCCATAAAATGCAGGGAACCAAAAAATAAAAAATAAAAAAAATAAAAAAATAAAATGCAGAGAACCATGGTCATTCCCCTGCCCTGGCTGGCTCTCAGGGTGGGCCCTGGACGCACACCGTTTCCCTTTGTCCTAGGGTGACTATTCCTGGGGCCCCTGGCACCCCCAAGACTGGTGACTTCTACAATCCCTCTTCTCCGAGGAGACCCCCAGACTGAGCTCCAGGCATGGTGCTGGCGGACAGACTGTGGCTTCATCTTGGTGCCAAGCCGACTCCGTGATCCACCTTACCAAGGGGGACCCTGAGGCGTAAGAGCCCCTTGGTCATCTCAGGGGCGGCATCTGCCCGGACCGGCCTCCTGGCCCCACCGAAGCCTCCCGCCTCCTTCCTCCCACGGCCACCGCCACACACTTGCCATCTTTCAGGCGTCTGGACGGACAGACAGAACTTTGGAGACCCGAGGCCCAACTTCCCCGCTCCTTCCTCCAAGGAAGGGCTCCCGCACACAGCCAGCCCGCAGCCCTGCAGCCCCCATCCGGCCAGGACCCCCAGACCCGCCGGCTTTGCGTCCGCCAGAGGCCCAGCCGCAGGCCTGCAGTGGCCACGCCAGGTGCGGGGACCGCGAGCCCCGGTGGGGAGGGGCTCTGGGGGGGAGCGGCCCGGGGGGGCCCTTGGGGGGGTGGCCCTCAGGGTGGGGGGGCGGCCCTGTGGGGGGGACCCCCCTCTGCCAGCGAGGACACAGCAGCCCACGGGACCGCCGGCCGCTCCGGGGAAGCCTCAGGGGGGATGTCGCAGCTCTGTGTCCGCCAGAGTCAGAAGGGCCGCGGCCTCACTTCTTCCCCAGCAAGGCAACCCTGGGGGCCCCCGGGCCGGCACCTTCTACCCCCGCGCGCCCCGCTTCCTGCCACCACCCACAGAAACACGCCATCCAAGCTGGTTGAACCAGCTTTCCCAGGCCCCGCACACTTCCGCCCGGCACACACCTGTCGGCACACACCTGTCACACCGGCCAGCGGGCAGGCCACCCCGCGTACCCCGCCCAGAGCTCGGGGAGCTCTAATGCATCACTCGGTCTCACCAGATCCCCCCAGGAGTCTCCCTCATGGGAGCGCACCCGCTCTCCCCTCCCTTGTTTTCTAGATCAGGAAACCAAGGCCCGGAGAGGGGAAGGCGCTTCCCAGGAGTGCACAGCAAACAGGGGACACAGCCAAAACTCAACGCAGGGCTGGTGTCTCCTGAGGCTGAAAGAAGAGGGAAAGGAGGACAGGAACATGGAGGTGAGATAAAAGGGCAGGGAAGGGAAGGAGGAAGAGAAGGCGAGGGGAGAAAGGAGCCTGGGAGATGGAGAATTCTAGAAGGCACCCTCCTGGTAAAGAAGAGGAGGGCTGGCTTACTCCCGGCTCTCCTGCACACCGAGGCAGCCGGTGGCATCTGCTGTCCCCCCAGGCTCAGTCCAGAGTCTGCCTCCATGCCCCACCCAGAGGAAAACTCTGCGTGAAGCCAGGCCTGACCTCAGGGCCTAGGGGCCAGGGAGCCAGCCCCACGCCCTACAGGGCCCTGCAGCCCCGGGGAGGACCACACCTCTCTCCTGACATCTGCCCTGCCTGTTGTACCCGGGACTCAGCCACCTGCCAGGTCCGTCCCTAACTCACTGCTCAGGCAAGAGAAGCCAGGTTCAGGAAGGGGGGGGAGTTGGATGGGCCAGGAGGGTAGTGCCCCGAACCCTCATTCCTCCCCTGGACGAGCCTGGGCACCCCTAGGTGACCCAGGATGAGTCACTTCCCTGGCGGTTCCTTGACAGCCCAACAGTGACAGACAGAGGCCCATCCTGCCTCTGCCCCCATGGACAGGGCGGGGGGTGGGGGTGGGGGGCCTGAGAACTGAAAACCAGCTGGGCTTGGGAATTAGCCAACACGGATGGACGTGTTCTCATGTCCTCGGGGAGGCGCAGGAGGAAGGGACAGTCTCAGCCAGGACACGGCCTCCCTGTGCAGCCACCCTTCTGTGGACACCAGCTCCTTCATCTGCAAAATGGGGACGGGAGCCTCCTGCACACAGATAGGGTGTAGGGTGGGAAGAACAGGCTCCGAAGCCACCAGGAGCTTCAGAGGAGTGGGAAGACAGGCCGCACTCTGTGCTCCTGTTATCTGTGTCCATGTCCCCCACGGGCCTGTGGGCTTTTCAAGAGCAAGGCCTGGACCCCAGTCATCTCCGTGTTCCCAGACTCACGCTCAGCGCGTAATGCGTAGATGAGCAAATGAGACAGACGGGAAACATGAACAACGCACAAAGAAACAGACAACAAAAGGTAAAGCAGCGAGCACCGTGAGGCCAGGGACCAGAGCCGCCCTCGACAGCACCCGGGCACCTAGACTAGCAGCTGCCGGGTAGCAGGTGCCCGACACACGGGGGGACGAACGAACGAACGAATGAGGCAGGAAGACTAGATGGGCTGCCCCCTGCCCTCGGCCATCCTCACATCCCTCACACTCCGCAAGGGTGTCCCGCCCACGGTGGCTCTTACCTTTCTGCAGGTGGATGATGTCAGGGAAATTTGAGAGCAGGCCCTGGTAGAGAGACAGCGTGTCGAGCATCTGGAAGAGGTCATTCTTGGGCTGCTCGGCGAACATCTCACCCACAGCTTCATAGGTGCGGCCCGTGTGAGAAATGGCGCTGTTGAGAGCCTCAGAGCTGAAGGGGGGGTCCATCTGGAAGGCATGACTGATGGCCTGGAAGGCATTGCCCAGCTTCTGGAACTCCTTGCGGAAGCCCCCCACATGCTTGCGCACCAGCTCCGACGCCACGGTGCTGAGCTGCAGCACGCTGTCGTCCATCTTCTTGCTGAAGGCCTTGAAGGTGTCCACACGGTCCTCCACATCTTGCAGGTCCTGGTGCTCCGTGGGGATCTGGAAGGTGAGCAGGAAGCTGGCACCCACCATCTCATCCTTCTCTGCCCTGCGCTTGCCCATCTTCCACTGCTTGGCGTCCAGGCAGCTGAGGAAATGCTGGAAGCCCTCATACTGGGACAGCACTGGGTGGCTCGTCATGTGGTCCATCCAGAGGATGAGCCGGCGCTTCCGCTTCTCGATGAAGTCTTCCTCAAAGCGGCCTGTGGCCTGCTTCTCCGGCAGGTGGGGCACCGAGATGACCGTGAACTTGTGCAGCAGGCGGTTGTAAAGCCAGTCAAAGTGTTTGTAGCGCCGGTAGACTGGCGAGCCGGCGTGGGTAGGCGTGAGCTTGTAGGAGATGTAGCTTTTGATGCCCTTGAATTTGGTCTGTTTGGTGGGGTCCTCCACTGAGCAGGCAAACGGGTGGGGGTTGGCCTTCCACTGGGGGCCACGAGGGCCCATTTCAATGGAGTACGTCTCCGCAATCTTGGCCATCATGGGCACATCACCCAGGATGAAGGCCTCCACTCCGGAGCGAACAAAGCACGAGAAGCGGTTGAGGTTGCGCCCCACCACACTGCCGCGCTTGGCAGACGCCAGGCTGTCCTGCCGCTCCAGGGCCGGCTTGGGCCGGAAGGCCATGTGCTGGCTGGGGTAGGCACCGGGGTACGAGAGGTTGAGAGGGGGGTGCCCGTTGGTGCCCAGCCCGCCAGCCCGAGGCTCCTCCACCACTGTGCATCCATCGTCCCAGTCATCCCAGTCATCATCATCGTCCTCCTCGAAGCTGCCCTGGTGGGAGAGGAAGCCGCTGCCCCCCGCGCTCCTGGAAGGGCTGGCCACGCCGGAGCCGGAGCCGTCATACGAGCTCACCTGGGTGCCCAGAGGGCCTGGGCTGCCGCGGTAGTCGGCAGGGCTGGAGCTGGCGCCGCAGTGGATGATCTCCACGTAGGAGGCAGGGAAGAGCCCGGTCTCGCCGCGGCTGTTCTGGCCCTGCAGCCAGCCGTCCAGCGAGGTCTCACTGAAGATGACCAGGTCCTCGTCCTGATGGATGGTGATTTCCTCCTTGTTCTCGCTGCGGAAGTCGTAGAGGGCTCGGCCTTTCAGCGCCATGGCTGGCCCAGCGGGAGAGGGAGGAGGGCCGGGTCCTGGCCAGGACGGAGCCGCGCCAGCCGCTCAGGCCTATCGCAGCAGCTCAGTCTCTTAGCTCCGGAGCTGGGGTCTTGGCACCCCTAGATGCTGGGTAGCCTCCCCCTATTCAACGCGATGTCCTTGGCCCTTCGCCTGCCCTATTAAGTCTCCGACATACTCCTGCGGGCAGGGAGGGCTCATGTCCATGGTCCTCCTCCCCTCCTCCCCGGCAGCCCAGACCCGGCACCCTCTCCTTCCTCCCACTTGTAGAAGAAAAGTCAAGTGACTCGGAGAAATCAGCTCGGAGAGGGCAAGAACTTGACACTTTGCACTGGAACAATGTTCTGAAATAGAAGCGAATCACCCCGAGGCCGCCGCTCCAGAAACCCAGGCAGCTCTGGCTCCCGGCTCCTGGCTTCTCCGCCCGCTGGGAGGCTCTCACATTCCTCTGCAGATCTGCTCCTTCCTCCTTCCTCTTCCTCCTCCTGAGCCACTGGGCTTTCAAAAAACCAGAAAATCCAAGAGGAGCATGGAGAAAACAGCAGCCTCTTGAATCCAGTCCAAGGGTGGATGTGTCCGGCTTCACAACGAGCCGGGCGGGGGGGAAACAAGCGCTGAGGCTTACACAACAGGCCGCCACCTCGGCGACCCCGGCGCCCTCCCCGCCCGAGCGCCGACTCCGAGGACGGAGGGGGCGCGACGAGGCGCCCCGGCACTTCTGGCCACCAGCTGAGCGGCCTCTTTTGTCCGCCCGGCTCCTCAGCACTTGCGGGCCCGCTCGGAGTCCGAGCCCGGCCCGGGGTCGCCCCGCCGCGGGAGTCCGAGGGCGCGCCCCGGGGCCGGCAGTGCGCGGGGTCGGCTGGCGCTCCGGGTCCGCGCGGCCGGGGTCTCGGGGCGCGGCGGGGCCACTGCCCGGCCCGTGCCCCCGCCCGCCTCCGCGTCGCGCGCCCGCGGCCCCTCGGCGCCGCCAGCGAGGACCCAGCTCCAAAACAACAGAGAAAAGGGATTCCGGGAGGCGGCGTCCGGAGAGAGGAGGGAAGAGCCGAGGGGGCGGCGCGGGGTGGGGAGAGGCGGGAGGGAGGAGCGGCGGCCGGGACTCGGGCGAACTCCGCGGCGCTTCGGCCCGGCTCCGCCCCGCCCGCCGGCCCCCGCGCCCGCCCCGACCCGCCGAGGTTAGCGGCCCGAGCGCCTGGAGCACCCACCCCGCGGGGGCCCCTCGCCCGAGCGCCCGGAGCACCCCCACCCCGCGGGGACCCCCTCCCCCCCGGCCCCCCGCGCTCGCACTCGCTCCCCGACCCGCCGAGGTTAGGGGCCCGAGCCTCCAGGAGCCCCCCGCGCGGGGACCCCTCGCCGGGGCGCCTAGAGTCCCCCCCGCCGCCGCCTCGCCCCCGGGGCTCCGTCACCCGCCGCCTTCCCCTCGACGCAGTGGAGGAAAAGTCCGAAAGTTTGCAAAGTGAGGGCTGGCGGGGAGGCCGCGGCGGCCGAGCCCCAGGGAGGGGCCGAGGGAGGGCGCCCGGACCGCCGCCGCCGCCGCTCTCCCGTCCCCCGGCCCCTCCACCCCCACTCGGGCGAGACTGGGCGAAACTGGGCCGGGGCGCAGCCTGGGGATCGCTGCGGGGGCGGGCGGGGTGAGCTAGCCCCCGAGCTAGCAGCGCCCTCTGGGAAGAAGCTTGAGGCTCCGATCCCGTAGCCACCAGGCTGGAAGCACCCCTGCCGCGGGAGACCTCCTTTGGAGGGAAGGACAAGACCCTAGGTATGTAGCCACAGGGGACAAGCTTGGGCACGCCCGGGTTCCGGGGTGCCCTGTGCCGCCCGGGGACTGGATTTTCTGTGGCGTGAGCAGCGAGCAGAGCAAGGGGGCAGGGTGGTGTGCATAGGCCTGCAGACAGGCAAGGGGCACTGGAGCCTTGGTCAGCCCACCTGGAGCACTCTGGGCACTGGGTGCCAGGTGCCACGCTCAGCCCTGGGGATTAGGACACAACCCGCAGGAGTGTGCCCTCGGGTGTGCAGCCGCCCCCCCCCCCCCCCCCCGGTGATTTAACTGTCCTGGGTGGAGCTCATGCATTCAGTCGTGCACTCAAGGGAGGTTCACAGAGTTATCATTCTCTATCAGGCCCCCTGGGCTACAAAGATAAGTAAGATGTTATCCCTACCTTCCAGAAGTCAGGAGAGGTAGGCAGCTAACTCCCTACTCAGCGGGACCAGTGCCACGAAATGTGCCTGGGAGGGCACCTATCCCAGCCTGGGTGGAGCAAGGACCAAGGAAGGCTTCCCGGAAGAGGAGGTGCCTGAGGTGAGACGGAGGCTTTAGCCCCTACTCCTCTTCCAGGCCTTGCCCTGGAGCCTTGTTCTAGCTAGAACTTCCTTCCTCCTCATTCTGACTTTTCCTACTTGTTGCGGATTAGCTGGCGCAAGGGGGAGCTGCTAAACATGGGCGCCTTCGGCTGTTGGGAGGGGTATAAGGCTCCAAAACCCAATTTCACTGGCGCAGCCATTAGATCCAACTCCCTCTGCAGGGCTGACATGTGACCTGAATAAAGGCTTAGGTACAAACCTCAGAAGGCCAGGTTTTAAAGCTTTATTTGTAATTGTAGTTGACATACAATATTATATTAGCGTCAGGTGTTCAACATAGGGATCGGACAATCACATATGTTACCGAATGCTCACCGTGGTGGGGTAGTTACCAGGCCAGGTATTCAATTGCACACAGAAATGCGACTGTCAGGCAGACCTGAATTTTTGCACCAACGGATCACGGCAGGCTGGGCCACCCCTTAGGAAGCCCAGCTACCAGGTTTGCTCAGTGGACCCCAGTGCTCATCTCGTTGTGTGCCCTCCTTAATACCCGTCACCCAGTTACCCCATTCCCCCACCTACCCCCTCTTCTGCAACCCTTTGTTTCCTAGAGTTAGGAGTCTTTCATGGTTTGTCTTCCTCTCAAATTTTCCCCACTCAGTCCCCCCCCCCCCCCCGCCAAAACCCCATGAGAGGATGAGGAGATGGTGTAACAAGTCTTTCAGCCAAGAAACCCTGAGATCTCATCCTCCACGACAGGGCCAGCCCTGATTCTAAGCATTTGGGTCATCGTCCTCCTCCTCCAACCAGAGCTGGAGTAGGTCTCCCCCAGCTACTTTTGGGACACCCCTTCTCTGTGATCTCTCCTCATTCACATAGCCTCTGCCCAAGCTGAGCCTAACAGCAACTGTGATGTTAGTGCCACACACTGTTGTACACATTTTACCTTTATTAGCTCCCTTAATACAATCGATAGGACTTCTGCTCACCCAGCCAGGATCCCAGTCCAGCCACCACCCTGATGGCCTTTAGTTGGCTCCCAAACACCTCAGCCACACATTCACAGACCAACCATCTTGGGCTTTCTCCCACATGTGTTCTGGGTGGGTTTTTCTAACTCTTAGGAGCCATACTTATTTCCAGGTTCTTGGGGAAAATTCTCTTGAGCCTCTCAGACATTTCCACCCAGTACCAGCATCTTCCATTCCCTCCCTTCCAGTGACCCTCTTCAAGTCTAGGGGTAACACAGCCCCCAAGTTGCTAGTCTCAGGAAACAGCACTAATCTTTGTGGTTTCCCTATACCCTGCCCATTCCCTTAGGACAAAGTCTCTTTATTCAATTCTCCTTACATTATTCTTTTTTTTTTTCCTTACATTATTCTAATTGAAGTGTGTTCTCTCTTTCCTGCCTGGGCCCTGACTCATGCTCGGCAAACAGCATCCATTCTCCATCCAAGTGCCCAACTTTCCTCCTTTAAGAAAAGAGTAAGCAAGGGAGAGCTGCAGCCAGTGGCTTCCAGTCTGACCCCACTGGTGGCAAAATGGGTACAGTGCAATACATGCACATGAGATGATGAGAGCCTGAGACAGTACAGGGTACTGGCTGGAGAGAAGTAAATATGGGAGTTATGGAAGTAGAATAGACTGGAATGGCATCCAACAAGCTGTGGGTACTGAGGAAAGAGTCAACCCACATCTTTAAAAAATAGATTCTCCACTCTAGTTCCCCCCACCAACTACTGCCCCATTTCTTTGCAGGCATGAGCAAAATTCCTCAAAATAGCCATCTATACTAGCTGCCTGAAATTTCTTTCCTCCCTTTCTCTTCTTAAACCCCTCAAGCCAGTCTTGCACCCTCACACTCCACTGAAACTATTATTATTAATTTTTTTTTAGATTTTATTTATTCATGAGAGACACAGAGAGAGACAGACAGAGACACAGGCAGAGGGAGAAGCAGGCTCCATGCAGGGAGCCCGACATGGGACTCGATCCTGGGACTCCAAGATCATGCCCTGGGCTGAAGGCGGCGCGAAACCGCTGAGCCACCGCTGCCCAACTGAAACTATTATTATCAAGGTCAAAGTCATTAATGACCTAATGGTTATTCTCAGTTCCCCTCTTACTCAACCTCTCAGTACCATATGACCAGGTTGAGGACTCCTTCCCCCTGGATACACTTTCTTCACTTCCACTGGGGAAACCATACTCTCCTGGTTTCCCTTCTACCTCATTAGTTCATCTTCCTCTCTCCAATAATTTGTAACACTATAGACTACAGAAAGTGGTCCACTTGTCTATCATATTCGCTATTTTGATGACCTCACCCAGACTCATGGCTTGACATACCATCTCTCTACCAATAACAACTCAATTTTTTATTTTAATCTCCAGCCTAGGCCTTTATCTAGAATTCCAGGCTCAAATGGCTTTCTCTTTGACATCTCCCCTAGGATGTCTAATAGACACCTCCAACCCAATATGTCCCAAGCAATACCAGATACTGTCCCCCAAACCTGTTCTACTTGGCAGCCTTCCCTACTTGAGTGATGAGAAGTTTCTACCACTTGCTCACGCCAAAAACTGGAGCCGTCCTTGACTCTCATCATTTGTGGGACTCCTCTCACATCAGATTCTTGCTACTGTGGAGCACCTGGGTGGCTCAGTGGTTGAGTGTCTGCCTTTGGTTCAGGTCATGATCCCCGGGTCCTAGGATTGAGTCCTGCATTGGGCTCCCCAGAGGGAGCCTGCTTCTCCCTCTGTCTACATCTCTGCCTCTTTCTGTGCCTCTCATGAATAAATAAATAAAATCATAAAAAAAAAAAAAAGATTCTTCTCTCCTGGTCCCAGCTACTGTCTTTCTCACCCAGATCACTGCAACAGCTTCCTAATGATATGTTTCCACCCCTGCCTCCTGACAGTCTATTCTCAACATGGCAGTCAGAGTGATCTATTTAAAACATAAGTTATGGGACGCCTGGATGGCTCAGCGGTTGAGCATCTGCCTTCGGCTCAGGGTGTGATTCCAGGATCCAGGATCAAGTCCTACATCGGGCTCATTTCGGGGAGCCTGCCTCTCCCTCTGCCTGTGTCTCTGCCTCTGTGTCTCTCATGAATAAATAAAAAATCTTAAAAAAGCAACAAAAAAAGTAAGTTAAATGTCAATCCTCTGCTCAAAACCATTCAATATCTTCATCTCACAAACATAAAAACCAAAGTCCTTAATTACTCAAAGGTCTATGAATTTCTGTCATCAGAACCCCCTTTCCTCCCCTCCTAGCCCACTGCTCCAACCAAGACGGCTCTGTTACTCTTCTGATATGCTGGGCACATTCCTGTCTTTTTTTTTTTTTTAAGATTATTTATTCATGATAGACACAGAGAGAGACAGAAACACAGGTAGAGGAAGAAGCAGGCTCCATGCAGGAAGCCCGACGTGGGACTGGATCCCGGGACTCCAGGATCACGCCCTGGGCTGACGGTGGCGCTAAATCGCTGAGCCACCTGGGCTGCCCCACATTCCTGTCTTAAGGCATTTGTAGACTGTGTCTCTTTCGGAAATACTCTCTCCCTAGATATCTACATGGCTAAATCCCTATAAAATATCACCTTCTCAATAAAACCTACCCTGACATGCCCTATTTAAAACTACAGCCCTTCATCAGCCTAAGCTCTCCTATATCCTGCTCAGTTTTGTTTCATAACATTTATCACTTGCTAACACATATGGTTTAGTTTTTACTGTTTATTGTCTGGGGAGAAGGAAGTTAACCAAGAGTCCTACTGCAGACATGCTGAGCAAAGGCTGAGGATGGAGTGAGGCTGGGGGGACTATGAAGGGTGGGGATGCAGTGCAAGCTGGGAGAAGATATTTGTTCTATATATAACTGGTTAAGGATTAATATCCATAATACATAAAGAACATCTTCAAATCAATTAGGAAAAAAGAGGAAATTGTATTAGTTTTCTATTGCTGCTGTAACAAATTACCAGAAACTTGGGTGGCTTAAAGCAACACGGGTTTATTGTTTTACAGAAATCCAAACTGGATCTCAAGACTATGTTCTGAAGGCTCTAAGGAAAAATTTGTTTCCTTGCCTTTTCCAGCTACTAGAGGCTGCCCACACTCCTCTGCTTTGGGTTCCCCGTCATCTTCAAAGCTCCTTCTCACATATTCAGATTTCTGCTTTCATCATCTATCTCCTCTGATTCCTGTGCCTCCCTTTTTCACTTATAAGGACACTTATGACAACATGAGACCCACCGAGATAACTGAGCATATTCTCACCATTTCTTTTTTTAAAAATGTTTTATTTATTTATTCATGAGAGACACACACAGAGAGGCAGAGACACAGGCAGAGACACAGGCAGAGGGAGAAGCAGGCTCCATGCAGGGAGTCCAACGTGGGACTCGATTCGGGGTCTCCAGGATCATGCCCTGGGCTGAAGGCGGCGCTAAGCCGCTGAACCCACTCAGGTGTCTGTATTCTTGCCATTTCAAAATCTTTAATTTAACCACATCTGCAAAATCGGTGTGTATACATGTATACAAATTACCTGGGGAATCTTGTTAAGCAGTGGCTGTCATTCTGTGGGTCAGGAATCGGCCTAAAATACTGCATTTCCAAAAAGCTCTGTGCCGGTCTACTGGCTCCAGTTTGAAATAAGAAGGTTCTCAACGTATTTAGAGATGCATATGCAATGATAAAACTTTTTTTTTTCTTTTTAAGCAAAAGGGGAAAATGAACACAAAAATCCAGGTACATAGATACCATTACCTCTGGCTGAAGAAGTGGCCGGAGTAGGTCGATGGAAGTGGTCCTGGTGACATTTTTCTTAAGCTGGCTGTTGGGTTCCTAAGTATCCTCATTATACTTTGTAACTTAATATGTATAACGTACACTGACATGTATCATTTCCCACATAGTAAGTATCGTACTTAAATGGACAAAACTAAAAATGATCAGCGAGGAAGCTAGGTGGCGTCAAAGGCCCAGGCAAACAGACGGGTTCGTGTATGGACTTACAGACCGAAGGAGCCGAAGAGCGTTGAATGTATTCAGCTCGGTGTCGGGTGACCAGAAGTCCACCCGGTCGGGCTAATTCGAGTGAGCTCGGGGTGTGTACTTGAATCCAGGTTTCTCGGACCTGCTAGGTTAGGTTCGATGAGTCACCTGGCACATCTGCTAATACAGCTTTCGGGGAGGCCTCTGTGAGGGCGAGGAAGCGGCCGGGCAGTCGGGGTTCCCTGCAGGCTCGCCAGCGTCGGGCCCCCCTAGACCGGGCGTCACCGGGTAGCTCCGAGCAGCTGGAGCACCGCGGCCACCCGGAGCACCGGGAGGACCGCGACTGCCGGGAGCACCGAGAGCATCGGGGGCATCGCGACGACCGGGAGGACTACGAGCACCGGGAGCATCGCGGCCACCGGAAGCACCGGGAGGACCGCGGCCGCCGGGAGCATCGAGGCCACCGGGAGGACCGCGGCCGCCGGGAGCATCGCGGCCACCGGGAGCACCGAGAGCGCCGCGCAGCCCGCCGAACCAGCACAGCCGTCACCTGTCTCCGCCCGGCCTGACCTCAGCTTCCCGGAGCGGACTCACCTGGGAGACTCTAACAGGCATAAGTCTGAGTGGGACTGAACGACTGCTGCACTGGGGATACAGTCCTCGTGACTGAACACCACGAGGAGGTTTAAAACAAAACAAAAAAAAGATCGAAAAGAAGAGCACCTGCCCGGGCCGCGGCCGCGCCAGCCGCCGCACCGCCAGCACCTCGGCCCTACTTCCGGCAACGCGGGAAGCAACGCGAGATAGTGACGTGGCTGGGGGGCGTGGCTCCAGCCTGACCAATGGGGGCGGAGGGCGTGGCCCGAGGCCGTCCTCTCATTGGGCCGGCCTTGGCGGAAGTCGCGCGGGCGCTCGGCGGCGCCGTCGAGGCGTCGGCTTTGGAGGCGCCGGGAGCCGCCATCATGGTGCGGAAGCTGAAGTTCCACGAGCAGAAGCTGCTGAAGCAGGTGGACTTCCTGAACTGGGAGGCCACCGACCACAACCTGCACGAGCTGCGCGTGCTGCGGCGGTACCGGCTGCAGCGGCGGGAGGACTACACGCGCTACAACCAGCTGAGCCGGGCGGTGCGCGAGCTGGCGCGGCGTCTGCGCGACCTCCCCGAGCGAGACCCGTTCCGCGCGCGCGCCTCGGCCGCGCTGCTGGACAAGCTGTACGCCCTCGGCCTGGTGCCCACGCGCGGCTCGCTCGCGCTCTGCGACTCGGTCACCGCCTCGGCCTTCTGCCGCCGCCGCCTGCCCACCGTGCTGCTGAAGCTGCGCATGGCGCAGCACCTCCAGGCCGCCGTGGCCTTCGTGGAGCAGGGCCACGTGCGCGTGGGCCCCGACGTGGTCACCGACCCCGCCTTCCTCGTCACGCGCAGCATGGAGGACTTCGTCACCTGGGTGGACTCGTCCCGGATCCGGCGCCACGTGCTGGAGTACAACGAGGAGCGCGACGACTTCGACCTGGAGGCCTAGCGCCGTCCCTCCCCGGGGCGCTCCCCCCCGCCGCCCTCCGACGCCTTCCCGCTGCTCGACCCCTTTTGATTCGAGTACTCGCTCTTGTTGGGGGTTGAGCTGCGCACGGACCCTGGAGAATTCGAGCTCGAGTTTGCAGAAGATGCGGGGCGGGGATGGGTTGGTGCGCTGTGCGCCCTCGCGCGCGGAGAGAAGCCGTCCCAATGCCAGTAAAGGGCCCAGCCGCTCGGAGCGTGCACCTTTGTGTCTGTCTGGCTTTCTCGTACGGGCTCACATCTGGGTTCACATCTGGGCTCCTTGGCTCGAGAACCCAGTAGGGAAGAGCGGAGTTAGCGACCTGCCCGTGAGCGAGGCCGGCCCCCGGGGTGGGGGGTGGGGAGGGCGCCTGCGGAGGTTGCGGCAGATTCATCCTGGCACTAATCCCTTGCTCGCAATGACTGTCTTGGCCGAGCTCTTCCCCACAGGACTTCCTGTTGATACTCCAGCCCCAGGAAGTAACCGTGTTAGAGGGCTGCAGTGTTTGCTCTTGGCTCGCCCAAGGAAATAATCACCCTGTAGCTTGGCCAGCTAGCGGTTAGAAGTGGCCCAGGAGGTTCCTGGAAGCATGTTCTTCGCGGTGGGGAACTGGAGAAGGGGGAGGTTACCTCTTTTTACCCAAGACTTAAACGAGGAGACTAAGTATAGAGTGCCAAGACCTATGCATTTGCTAGAGAAATATGGGAAGGGAACACTGGAGATGTTAATAGCAAATGCATCTGCTGCGTGTCAGGCACAGTTGGAAGTGCATTACGTGGATTAATCTGTTTAATCCTCCCAACATGCTATGAAGTGGGGGATCCAATTATCCTCTACTTTTCAGATGAGGGAACTGAGGCAGAGATGGGTCAAACTGCCCCAAGATTGCATAGCCAATAAGTGGCGGAGCTGGCATCGTGCTCCCTTTAAGAGGCTGTCAACATTGGCACATGTAGGGGTTTAAAGAGAATCCCTGACTTTGAGTTAACAAATCAGCAGAGAAGCAGCACCAAGCAATCGGATTGGTCCCCAACAAGGTGCTGTATAAAGGTGTTTGTTTGTTTGTTTTTTAAAGATTTTCTATTTATTCGTGAGAGGCAGAGGGAGAAGCAGGCTCCATGCTGGGATGGACTTGATCCCAGGACTCCAGGGCCACACCCTGGGCTGAAGGCGGGCACTTTAACTGCTGAGCCACCCAGGCGTCCCTAAAGGTTTGAACAAGAAGCAGGCTCTGAACTTCCAAGGCTTAGTGCTCACTGAGACCCTCCCTGTGCTAGGTTGCCATCTTCCTAACAACCTTGCAAGGTAGGTGGTGGTCTCCCTGTATTCAGTTTGGGAAATGGAACAAGAACTTTGTCCCAAGATTGAGGTTCAAGTCCAAGTATATGTGACTCCAAAGACCAGGTTTATTTCAGTGCCATTCCTTTAGAAGTGGAAGGTGAGAGAATCCTACTCCTCAGCGCTGGTGGCTGGGCATAGTCGCTGCCCTTGGGAGGAATATCCTCAGGGCTCCTAGGATTGGGGATCTCACAGAGAGGTTAGGGCTCTAAAAGCCACCTCTGGCTCCTACCCGATCCCACAGGGCAAGGCAGGTAGACTGGATCTTTGGAGTAGTTGGGAGCCTGCACTTAGCCCAAACAGATACAACTTCAAAACTCTTTGAAAGGAAACTGGGTTTAGGAACTTGGGAGTAAAATACAAGATTCTTTAGAAAAGCCTTTCAGGACACCTGGGTGGCTCAGTGGTTGAGCATCTGTCTTTAGCTCAGGTCATGATCCTGGAGTCCTGGGATCGAATCCTACATAGAGCTCCCTGCATGGAGCCTGCTTCTCCCTCTGCCTATGTCTCTGCTTCTTTCTATGTCTCTCATGAATAAATAAAATCTTTTAAAAAAATTATTGTAGGGGTACCTGGGTGGAGTATTCGGTGGTGTCCGATTCTTGGCTAAGGCTCGGGTCATGATCTCAGGGTCATGAGATCTAGCTGGAGTGGAGCTCCAGGTTCAGTGGAGAGTCTAAGATTCTCTCCTCGGGACGCCTGGGTGGCTTCAGTGGTTGGGCGCCTGCCTTCAGCTCGGGACCTGATCCTGGAGTCCTGGAATCAAGTCCCACCCACATCGGGCTCCCTGCATGGAGCCTGCTTCTTCCTCTGCCTGTGTCTCTGCCTCTCTGTCTCTCATAAATAAATAAATAACATTAAAAAGATACTCTCCTCTCTCTCCCCCTATACCCCTTCCCTGCCTCATGCATGCAGGTGCACATGCAGGCACACTTTCTCTCTCAAAAAAAATATTTTTAAGAGTTTATTTATTCATTCTTGAGAGATACACAGAGAGAGGCAGAGACACAGGCAGAGGGAGAAGCAGGCTCCATGCAGGGAGCCCGACGTGGGACTCGATCCCGGGACTCCAGGATCACGCCCTGGGCTGAAGGCAGGCGCTCAACCACTGAGCCACGCAGGCATCCCTCTCTCTCTCTCAAATCTTTAAATATAGATAATAAAAATTATTGTAACAAGATGCCCTCCAAGTTTCTGGCTCAAGTCTGGAGTGGGCCTGAGGTGCTGTTGATCACGAGAAGCATGAGCCTTGTGCCTAGCACAGTGCTTGGCATAAAGCGAGCACCTCAACAATGAGATCATCTCCCAACAACTAAGGGGGCAGAGGCTGGACTGGCTATAGGCAAGCATGGGCAGGAAGAGGCAGGGGCCTAGCTCTGCTGATGCCTTGTGACTTGGGGCATATCCTCCTGCACTGGGCCTCACTCCCTCTCCCTCTCCACTCTGATAGGAGGAGGCTGAACCAGATGGCCTCTAGTTTCTGCTCTGAAAGTTTTTGATTTGGAGGAGAGGATGTAAAAGAGTACAGTCAACATTTTAAAAGAGGCAGAGAAGAAATTACAGGTGCTTTGCCTGGCCCAGCAATCTGTGCTGACTCCAGATGAAAGCCGGCTAGCTTCAGGACAAATCTGAGAATGTGCCCCCACTGTCTGGCCCCAGGGAAGTTTCCAGGGGATAGCTCTCCCCTGACCACCATCCAGGGCTGGGAGGGCAACATTTGACTTGGCAAGATGAGCCAAGTCACCCATTCGGTTCACCAGCTGAAAAATCAGAAGCAAAACGAGACCCCCCACACACACACACGAAATACATGGCAGGCAACGTCTCATGGGCTAAGGATCAGGAACTTTGGACTCAACTGGGGCCAGGATTAAAATCATGGCCCATCACATTCTGACTACGTGACCTGGGCAAGCAGTTTTATCTACAGGGAAGAGACTATCTTGGGCTCAACTAATTAGAAGTTGACATAAGTAAATAAGAGAAAGATTATAACAGGAAGTTAAGTAGTGATAAAACAAAGATTTTTGAGGATGTGTTCTGTGCCAGGTACTGTCCTGATCACCTTACCTGGATCATGTCACTTAACTATAGCCATCTTGGACGGCATGTGCTATTTATTAGCTACATTCTGTGGAGGGGGAAACTGAGGCATATGTAGGTGAAATAACTCACATAGGCCACACAGCCAGCGAGTAGGTGAGTCTGCATTTGGATCTAAGCCATCCAGCCCCAGAACACAAGACCTGAACCACTCTGACATGCTTCCTCTCACCCAGAGCCGTACCCTAGGGAACTTGTGGGAGTGGGGGAAAAGAGGTTTGACCGTTTAGGGTCTCCTGTACCTGCAGTTTCTGCATCCTGGCTCATGTGACACCTGTTAATACACGACTTTGCCACCCTCTCAAGTCAGAGTCTCCTTGCCACAACTAGCTGAAGAATCCCTCGCTTACCAATGGGCAGTGAGAAGCACAGGCGGTCAAGATGGCTTTGATGGTACAGGCCCTCTTTTCTTTTCTCTCTTTTTTTTTTTTTTTTAAAGATTTTATTTATTTATTCATGCGAGACAGAGGCAGCGGGAGAAGCAGGCTCCATGCAGGGAGCTCGATGCAGGACTCCATCCCGGGATCATGCCCTGCGCCGAAGGCAGACACTCAACCGCTGAGCCCCCCAGGCATCCCGAGCTGTTCCCTTTTCAATTCTCCTTGAGTTTCAGTAACCTCAAGGGGAAGGTCCTGGCTAGGGGCTAGATTTAACACCTGTACAACTCCTGCGATCTCCTTCCCCCTTGCAGAACAGTAAGCCCTCCCAGTTTTCCTTCTGGATATATCCCAAAGCCAGCCCTTCCTGCCACAACTGTAGTGCAAGCCCTACTCACTGGTCTCCTGATCACCACTCATGTTTCAGTTCTCTACTGAGCTGCCAGCAGGAGCTCTTTCAGCTCAAATTTTGTTATCTCATAACTTTAAACACCTCCATCTGCAATGCAGGTAAAATCCAAACTCCTGGCTGTGGCCTACAGGCTTCTGTGTCCCACCAGCCTCCGTGACCCCATCTCCCTACTGCCTCCCCCTCCTCCACGCCTCCTCCCCTCAACACACAAAGTCTCTTAGGAAACACGCAGTCTCCCTGTCCTCACAGCTGGCTCCTTTTCATCATTGAAGTCTTGCCTCAAATTTGTCACCTCCTGGGAAGAGTTCTCTGAATACTGGCCCCAGCAGCTCCACCCTACCCCCTCTCAACCCAGCCACCTGAGCTCCTTAACACTAGTGTGCACCTGCCTACAGCACCTATCTCTTGACTTTCCCCACCACACAAATGGGCTTCAGGGCCCTGGAGGGCAGGGCCTGGGTCCATCCCGGTCATTTTGCTATTTCCTGTGCTTGGCTCAGTATCTAACCAACAGTAGGCATTAAACACATATCTGTTAATTGGCCAGGGACAGAGTGACACTCGAGGCTCCTACTGAGAGCCTCCTCTTTTGGAAATGGTTGGCCACCTTCCTGCTCTCAAGGTCCTCCATTTTAAGGAGCGACACTCTCCCCTGTGGCCACTTCCCAGATAATTTTAGAGGATGCACACATTCCGCCTTCAATAACACTGAATCCTGGAGGGAGAAAGGGGAACTTCCCTCTTCTGTTCTCTTTGAATTTTGCTGATTATACAAAAGAAAAATTCTGTTGGTGTGACTCCTTATCACTTCTCCAACACTTGCTGATCTCAGATTCCTACAAAATCCTCAGTTTCACAGTTTTTTTCTGCACATGCTGGCATTTAGCTAGATTACAGCCCATAGTATTTTCACTGTGTATATTTTATAGGTACTTTGTTAAAGTGGGAAGTGATTTAAGGTAATGCTATGGTGTTCCTCTTTTAAATGTGT